TAAGGAAAGTCTATATTTTATACTTTCTACCGTTTCCCTGAAAATAAGACCTCCCCGGATAATAAGCCCAATCGGGATTTTGAGTGCATGCGCTAAAATAAGCCCTCCCCAAAAAATAAGCCCTCTCTGGAAATATTGCAACACAGCAGCAGCCATGAGGTGACCACGCGTGCCGCCTCCTGCACCTAAAAAATAATAAGACCTCCCTGAAAATAAGACCTCCCCGGATAATAAGCCCAATCGGGATTTTGAGTGCATGCGCTAAAATAAGCCCTCCCCAAAAAATAAGCCCTCTCTGGAAATATTGCAACACAGCAGCAGCCATGAGGTGACCACGCGTGCCGCCTCCTGCACCTAAAAAATAATAAGACCTCCCTGAAAATAAGACCTCCCCGGATAATAAGCCCAATCGGGATTTTGAGTGCATGCGCTAAAATAAGCCCTCCCCAAAAAATAAGCCCTCTCTGGAAATATTGCAACACAGCAGCAGCCATGAGGTGACCACGCGTGCCGCCTCCTGCACCTAAAAAATAATAAGACCTCCCTGAAAATAAGGCCAAGTGCTTATTTCGGGGGTCAAAAGAAAATAAGACTCTGTTTTATTTTCGGGGAAACATGGTATGTAGTCATATGTAAAACATGATTTTAAAAGGCAATTAATGCGTTATTGAACTTTTTCTTTTTTCTTTTTTTAAGCTTTAAGTAAGATGTATGCATTTTTTTCCTTCATTATAAATTACCTGTTGTCTGTTTAGAAATCTTTTTGTACAAGTATGAGTTCATAATAATGTGACTACGCCAGCAATTAAACGTGAAGATGCTTTAAACGAGCCTTGTATGTAAGCACTCCCCTGATAGCTAGAAACAAGGAATTTGTATGTAGGTAGCTGCCCTGAACTCTGTACAGGATAGTGAACAGAATGGTGCCTCCTTTGTGCTAAGGGTGAAAAACCAGACGATAAAGAGAAGAGTCAGGCTGAGCTTTGGCATTCAGCATAGGAAGGCAGAATGGTGCTGCAGGAGCAAAAGAGTTCTTGCTTTACTGCAAAAATGTTAATAACAGTGTGAGTTGATTTCCAAGTCTACTAAGCATTCTTATACCAGCCTTGTACTCCTTCATAATCATTACTTCATATTAATTATTCTTGCAAAAGAAAAATAAAGACAAAACAGATTTTTTTACTTTGCGATCTATGTACCTGAGCATATTTTGCCAAAATTTCTTGAGGCCAGATGCTGGGAGTAAGAGCAGAAAAGGGCCCACCAGTGGAGGGAGTATAGCTTCCTATATGCAAAAAGAGTAAGCGTACACAGGAATATTACAGAAATGACCACAAACAGTATAAGGACCAATATTAAGATAAAGATATTTCAATTCAGGTTCAATTATTTCAATACATTTCAGAAAAGAAAAAAATATTGGAAAGATAGATCAGATGAGGATCTATCTAAACTTTGAAAAAGAAAAATTCTCTCCTTGCTGCCCTTAAATATAATAAATATTTTATGTATTAGAATCAAACTGTAGTTAACATACTAATGCAGTGGTAGTCAACCTGATCCCTACCGCCCATTAGTGGGCATTCCAGCTTTCATGGTGGGCAGTAGGGGTTTGCTGTAACTCTGCTTTATAAATTTTATAAAGTAAAGTTACTTCCCTACTTTATAAATCACCATTACTGTGGAACCGGTGGGTGGTTAGAATATTTTACTACTAACAGAAATACAAAAGTGGGCGGTAGGTACAAAAAGGTTGACTACCCCTGTACTAATGTATTGCCAAGATAGATAATGGTAAAGACTATTCAACCCAAGCTTTACACCTGATTATTTCATGGATATATCCACACAGTTCTCTTAGAAATAATATGGAAATGGTTTGTTTCAATTCTCTCCCAGGATGTTTTACAAATTTCTAGGCCAACCTGCAACCTTGGTATTCCTTGGAAGTCTCCCAAGCCTGAGGCTGTTTAGTTTCTGAACCCAAACAAGGTAAAAGCAGCAGTGAAAACACACTAAATGAAGCACCACAACTCCTATCAAGTTGACATGAATTATAAATTATAAAAATGAATTCAAAATTAAAAAGCTGACATGGTGTTCTTCATTATTGAGAATTTAATTTTGCAAGCTATCTTTTGTTTTCAGAGCCAATGGACAGTTTCGGCAATTGTGGTTTGAGAATGGAAACATAAAATATTACAGGGATCTCAACTGATTTATATAAAATGGCTGAAATAACATGTGAAGTCAGTTTAACCTGGAACATGATAGTTATTATTCCAGAAACTGATTTAGGAAAGAGATATAGAAAATTACTCCAATAAATATCATGCCAACAAAGCTTCTTATCAAGCTTTGAAAAGATAAATTTATTTTTTGTTTATTTATTAATTATTTAGTTTTTTTGAATGATGTGCTTCAGAGTAAAGTGAAGGCAAGTGAAAAACAGATCTGTGGTTCATTGCAATCATATGTATCCAATGTTATAAACAAAATATAATAGCAAAGATAGCAAAAATTAAACTCTGAAGGAACAAATATTAGGAAGGAGTATATTAAAAGGCAGTGCTAAAATGTCAATCTTTTTATAATAGTCTCAATGCTCTGATTTAAATAATCACAAATGCTCAATGTTCATAAAGAGCTTACCTGACATTATTATGGAGGAATATAGTCAATGAGGATTCTTAGATTCTGTAGAAAACCATTACTCTGTTGCAAAATAGAGAGATAATATGGAAAGAGCAAATTAATTCCTAAAACCAAGCAATCATAACTGTCAGTTACTTTCTAGAGGCACTGCTAAAATCATATTAAATTTCTAATTCCAACACTTACTTGTTCATATGCTACAAGACCAAATATTATTTTTATCTGGTAAACGTTGAATTCATATCCTGACTCTTGTACAAAATTTGCCAGTAAGCCCAAGTAGTTCTAATCATAGTCAAATTAATACATTAAAAAAAATAATTGCAGCTAGTGATTAAGGCATCAAGCTAGAAGCCCAGAAACTGTGAGTTCTAGTCCCACCTCAAGCACAAGCACAGTTGGATGGCTACTGCTAGTCACTTTCTCTTGGAAAAGAGGCAATGTCACATCTCTTCTGAAAAATATTTTCATGAAAACTGCAGAGATTTGTCCAGGCAGTCTCCAAGAATCGGACATGATTGAATAGAAGTTTCAATTCTGAGAGTTAGATTAACATAGTAAGATATTTCTTTAAAATATCCTTATTTATGCAACTGGTTAACATTAACCAGTTAAATAATTAAAATTAAAAAACCCTAAACAGCAAAGAAGTTAAATAAAACTTGTTTTATTAATGTCATCAAAGTAATTCTAATTATTTTTTTAAAAATAAATCTAATTAAACATATGTACATTAGAAAGGTCTGCCCATTAGGTGCCACTTCTGTTGGAAGGTAATAGTGTTCCGTGCACCTTGGTCTATAGTCATGCTGGCCATATGACCACAGAAATGTCTTTGGAGGACACTGGTTTCCTGCACTAAGAAATGTAGATTAACACACACGCATAGGCATGGAAACAACTGGACAGGCGAAACATTTATTTAGCATTAGAGAATTAAAGCAGCTGATACTAGTTCAAGAAAAAATGTGAGGCCAGCAAAAACAATGTAATCTGATATATGAAATTTATATATGAAATTGGAAAAGATTGGATTATACCCTAGTCAAATTTTGTTAAATGATGAAATGTTAAGGTCATGCCTGGTGTCTATATTTAATCCATCTGTAAAAGTAAAGCTAGGAAGAGAACCACTCTTGAGCAAATATTAACTTGAGGAATTAATGAAATTTATGGAAAAACATACAATATCCCAATGTAATAAGCAATAGGAGACACAAAAGTAAGGCTCAGGAAAATATATGTTGACACTTGACTTGGCAAATCAAAATGTATGTGCAGCTTAAAAAGGATATTTTAATTGTAGCAACAAACAAAGATTCTATATATTTTGGACTATGAAATATGCAACCTCCAAAGTTAAGAATATAATTCCAGGAAACCTCTGAAACTCATTTCCAAATTGTATATTTTGATGTTCAAAAGCGGAAATCATTAAAATATGATTGGAAAGCAGTCATCATCAAAAGTTAAAAGTTGTTGCTAGTAAAACAAAGGTATCACTCATTGAAAATCTTCTTTACATAATTAAAAAAAATCTGTGGCAATATTAGGCACAAATATTTTCATTTAAAAAGTTATTTAAAAATATTTTCTCTGAATCTATATTTTCCCATATTAGTAACACACCAAAAATATAACTTTAGAAATGAAAGTAAAAAGTCACCAACAACTTCACAATGAAGAACAGATGGCCTTTTAGGAAGTGAGAGTAGATAATGTGAAATAGAAAGAAAGTGAAGAAAGGTGCTTTTGCTTGTCAGAAGATTGCGAAACGGGATCATGTCAGTCCAGGACACTGCAACTGTCATAAATATGAGCCAGTTGCCAAGCACTTGAATTTTGATCATGTGATCATGGTGATGTTGCCACAGTCATGTGAAAAACAGTCATAAGTCACTTTTTTCAATGTAACTTTGAACAGTATTTAAATGAATGGTTGTAAGTCAGGGAGTGCCTGTATGCAACCAGCACTGAATGTTTTAAACAACTGAGTCAGAAAATTGCAGTGAGATCTATGAGTCACTAAATGGAACAAAAAGTAAAAATCTTCTGTAAACACAAATTCTTATTTGTTTAAAGAGAAATCAATATTTTTCACAATATAAAAGTCCCAGTGCTAACATATTGTAACGTGGTGCTACTTTTCTTTTTCTCAGTTTTTCTCTGCAATAAAAAGATTATTTTAGGAGAACCCATCTTGGGTGAAATAATAGCTTTGATTTAAAAATAAAATAAAATTGGGATTCCTACTTAAGTAGGTATAATTCTGGCAAATTCTGAACCTCAAGCCTCAAGCAATAAGGAGAGGGGAACAATTTTGAAGAGAATATTGCATTTGAGAATAGTATCATTACATGAACTATGACTATAATAATATTGGTTCTACATTATGAAGGAGAGGGGATTTTGCAACTACTATTCCCTTATCCCTGTCCTCAAAAACCTCAATTATTTGCTTTCATAGGAACTTTTCTTAGACAATATAACAACCTAATACCTAAGGTAATACAAACTTGCATTTTTCAGAGAGTACAACAGTAGAAAACTGGCCATAACAGAAAAATGCACGACTGTTTAACTCATTTCTATGTACAATATGTACAAAACTATTAAATAGCAGTATTGTGATCAGAAAACATTCAAGAGTTAATTTGATTGAATTATGGCTGTTGGGAAAATGTAAGCAATTAACATTGGATAGCATGACCAACATTTCATTAGTTACAAACAGAAGCTTGTTACCTCTCTTTCTCTCCCTATGGCTTAGCTTAGCATCCAGAGCCAGAATGAATAATGAAGAACTCAAAAAACTGCTTACAACTTTCTAATATTTTATTGGATTGAATAAGGCATTACCAGATGCACAAACTTTAAAAGTAAAAGATTGAGCTGTTTCTAATTTTGTTCAAAATAACTATAAAAAGCCAAAACAGCTCTAGCCTGCATTAACAGAGGAGTAAAATCAAGACCATGTGAAAATGGTTAAACCACTTTATAAACCACTTTATAAAGCACACTTGGAATATTGCATCCAGTTTTGACCACCACGATATTAAGAAGATGTTGAGACTCTAGCAAAAATGCAGAAAACAGCAACAAAGATGATTAGGGAACCAGAGCCTAAAACATATAAAGAATGGTTGGAGGAATTGGTTATGTCTAATTTAACTTAATCAAAAGAAGGACTAGGGGTGACATGATAGCCGTGTCCCAATATCTAAGGGGCTGCCGCAAAGAAAAGGGAATCAACCTATTCTCCGAAGCACCTGAAAGCAATTCAATAGAATAGAATAGAATAGAATA